GGAGACCCAAAGGGAACCTCAGAAATCAGTAGAGAAGATACTGCAACAGAAAGACAGCGACTCTAGTCAGCAGAAATGATTCGCTTCTGTTCATATCAACCCACCAGAGAGGGACGTCTGGGGAAATTCAGTTTACAAGAGGATGAGCTTTTCCTCAGCTCAAATCCATAAACATTGATCGACCTCAGGACCTTGATCTAGAAGACACTTTCATTCCTCTTCTTTACCCAGCAAAGGTTACATACACTGCACAGCCAGAATTAAGAAATTCTACACAGAGCTCAGTCACTTTTTTGTCCATCAAACGGCAAGTATGCATGAAACATTGCCTCTGTACCCTTCTATTCTGGGGCACATGGAAGGGGTTTGGTTCCAGGAGGTGAAGGGAAGGTCCCTTCTCACAGGGAGCCATGCTACAGCATCCAATGCAAAATAAAACTAAGATAACTAGAGGCTAACCTGGGGCATTGACTTTGGCATACAATGAAAATACTGAGAAGAAAAATAATCCATGCTTTAGGGAGGCAATCCTTAGGGGGGTGGGGGTACATTCTTTAAAGTGCTGTTCAGGGATAATACTGCTGCCTGTCTCCCCACAATTATGGGGGGAAAGATGGGGAGGAAGTTTTTGCTTCTCCCATCCCTACCCATGAAGTGGAGTCACGCCCTCCCACTTTTGTTAGGATGATTGTCTTTCCTTCTAAAGTGGAGAATAGAAGAGTGGTTGGAGCTGTAGCATTAGCCCTAACCCCTAGAATACCCGCCTCAGAGAGGCTTACTGTGGCCAGGACTCTGGTCTTGTCATTTGGTGGGGCACAGATACTGCACCATACTAGGCACTGCAAGGCACACAGGGAGAAGGATATATGGTCCTGGCACACATTTGGCAACTGAGAAGGCAAATACAGAATAACTGGGCAATTAATAAAATTATGAGATTTCTGAGGGGAACCTGGTTGCAGAGATACAGAAAGATGGGTGAAAAGAGAGGATATTCTCAGCTTTCAGGACCAAGAAAGCTTCTTAGAGGTGACTGGAAGAATTGCTAGGAATTGTTGCAATATCCTACTGGTTCTTGATTTGCACTCAAAGAACTCTTCAGGTTGGCATGTTTTACACCAGATGAGCAGGAGTTGTCTTGCTTTGGTTGGAGGAAGACTCTCCCATCTGGGAGGAGAAGGTAAGAAAGGACAATCTTGACCTTATGCTAATAAGCAGAGAGGGGGCCCTGCCTGCCCCACACAGGAGCTGTCCATTTCAGCACCACAGCCAGCGTTTATGTTTAGTACAGCAATTGGAAAATGCTGTCTTAGTCTCCTCTACCCCAGGCCCACCACTTGCACTGTCAGGGAACAAAACTCCCCAGCCCAGGTCCTTTACTATACACTTACTAGTGCATGCCACTTCCGGGGGGTCAAAATCTGCTCGGTAATAGCCGGTCCGGCAGGTGCAGATGGGAGACGCCTCTGAAGGGGATCGGCTGTTGGAGGGGCAGTGGGAGCAGCCCTCAGCTTCCTGGCTGGCCTTGAACATCCCTGCAGGGCAGGCTGGAACACAAAGAGATAATCTGAGAATTAATGGAAGAATGGCAGTCAGAGGTCCTTCCCTGGAAATGGAAAAGGAAAGATTCTGCCCGCCTAAAACAGACATTGAGATATCCCCTTACATAAAGTGAACATTTAAGATTGAGAAAACCCCTATTTAACACTTCCAATTCTTCAAACATCCTTAGTGGAAAATGCCTTTCTGGTATCAATGGCCTCTCTCACTTGAACAATATGAATAATATTCTTCCCTTTCAGGTGTGTTGAGAGATTTAATTGAGAAAATGAATATAATGTGCAGCTCAGCGTTTGGGACCTAAGTGTTGTGTAAAGGGTTATTCCCTCTCTCTTCTACCTGGTTAAGAGTCAGGGCCTTACTCTGAGCCATCCACTGAAGGGATCTTGCCTAATGTCCTTGGGTGGAAAGGGGTTCTGGTTGACAATGAACCAGACCCATGGTTCTTAAATGTCATGTTGCAACACACGAGGGACACTGTGAGCTGTGTCGAGCTGTGTTAACAAGCACTTGTTATGACTGATGGTAAAGGACTGAAATTCATGAGTGATTCTTTATAAAGAAAGTAAAGTGATTTCAAGGTTACTGCATTAACAACATCATTCTCCCTTAATTGCATTTTGAAATGCTTTAGAGGGCGGGGCAAAAAAAAAAAAGGATAGCTTTGCAGGCAGTGAACCAGCAAATGTGTCACGCACATGGTGTCATCTATCATGTACATGGCTGTGGAGAGGTTTGGAAAGCCTGGCACAGCCTGATGCCACTAGAGGTACTCTCGGATAGGAGACACCTCCTCTTGACTCCCTGTATGGTCAGGCTGTGAAGAGCCACACCCCCAAAAGTTTGATTCCAGCCCATCCCTTGGGCTTTCCCCATGCCTCATCTACAGAGACCCTCTACTTTGGACATCCTGCCTCTTCCTTGCTGACTCCTCACAATGTTTCTCCTGCTTGCTCTACTTCCCCGAGGCCCTTCCTCACCCTCTCAGCTCCTGATTCTTGCTGTCCCCAGGACACCTGCTCAAGCTCGTCCTCCTTTGAGACCAGGTAAAACTTACTGTATGGTCAACTCCTTTGTCTCTCTTACATACCTCACTAATTCATTCAACAAACATCGACTGTGACCCTTCTGAGGACCTGATCCAGAGAATGTAGAGAACACAGCCTGCCTTCAAGGAGCTCTGGATCTAGTGTCCTCATGCAATTATAATGCAATGTGATCACCGCTGTAACAGAAGGGTCATGGCAATGGCTTCTACTTATACAAAGCTCATCTTCCCAAATAAATAGTTCCCTCCTGGAAAGTGCAGAGTATTCTTTAATAATAGTAGTAGCCACCATCTGTTAACATTCTTGTTAAGTGCTTTACATGCATTACTCTGTGGGGTAGCTATAATTATCTTCATTTTGCTAATGAGGAAATTGGGACAAGAAGAGGTTCAAAAAGTTGCCCAGGATTACACTGTGGGAGAAATGATAGTGATGACATACACATCAACTATCTGGAAAATATCCACAGCTTTTCAATTACGACAAGAAGGAAAGGCTTGTTCCTATGCTGGGCAAGCTTTTCTCACTCCTTTGCTCACTTAAAGTGAGGTATAATGTTTCAGTTACTCTGGAAGTGGCTTGGGGTGGGAGCTCATCTTGGATGGGAGGCAATTACTTCTGAAATGGAATGTTCTGGAATGGCATCACCCAAGAGGGATCCATGCCATCCACCTTCTTTGGGTTGTTAACACCTTTTACTTACAAAAGGGCTCTGAGGCCAGATATTTTTTAAATGTGGATTTAAAAAGTGAATCTCTTTTTTATTCCAGAATTTCTCAGAACTTCCCAAAACGAGATACAGAATGCTATGTTTTCTCACTAAGACGCCCTACTTTACAGAGCATCCTCTGGGATTCAACTCCCACTGCACACACTGGGATAAACATTGTCTAGATGATCCAATATGGCTCTTAAAGATGTCTGTTGTAACCCATTTAAAAATGGGCCACTTGCTGACCCATCTTAGCTCATTCAAAAGAAACTTCTCTGTAGAAAGAAAAAAGCAATTTAAATCTTTATTAAAGACTCAACAAATAAAACACCACAGGGAAAACCCTGAATGGCATACCCCAAGTATCCTAGAATGTGGCGTACTGATCTACAATATCTTTCCAAGCCCACTCAGGATAGTCTCTCTCTCTCTCTCTATTTCTTTCCTCCTCTCTTTCTTTCTCCTTTCCATATCTCTTTGTTGTCTCCTGTAAGAAGCCCTTGGTCCTTTCCACTGTAAATCACCCAGCATTGCTGGCCCCCATTTAGTTCCTATGCTAAAGAACACGGAGAAATTCCATGCATGTGCTGTCCAAACACAGCAGAAGTTCTTACGCTAGAAAGTGGAGGAGGGGGAAGTGGTGCCTCGCATGCATTCATCTGGTCCCTTCCACACTGCAATTTTCTTAATGTATCAGTCCAGGAGGAGCAAGGTGTTTTCACTTTCTTTACAGCACTTAAAAGCCTCTTTGCTTTACATTTAATAAGTTAACAGCATAAACAATCATCTTGATATCCACAAATGGTGAAGGAATTTAAAGTGCCTTCCTGGGATTTCTGATGGAGAATGGCAGAACTGAGTGTCCTGGAGTCTCTGGACTCTAACTCGGCCACAGGGGAGGAAATGGAAAATAGGGAGCCAAGCTGGACTTAGGGAGAGAAGCTCAAAGAAAGATTGGGGAGAGAGGTCCTGGGAGAGAGTGTGATTCCATTCTCCCCAAGGCAGGTGGCACCAGGCAGTGGTCAGCCAGTCCTGGGTCTAATTCCTGTCTCTGCTCGTTGCTGGAGTGATGATCACTGGCAAGTTATGTAATCCCTCACCACCTCAACTTGCTCACCTGTAAAAAGGATCTACAAAAAACAAACTTACACTTCTCACAAAAACTCCCACAGGTCATTAGAATTTAATAAACTTAAACATGAAAACATGCCTACCATTAGTAAGTGCTAAATAATGCTAATTCTTCCTTACCCCACTTACCCACTCCCTTTTGAAAAATAAGTTTTCTTTGCAGGGGCTTTTAGAATTTGGGGTTAGAATACATGTTTTGTGTCCCAAAGCTGACAAATAAATCCTGGAACCAAATGAAAAAAATATGTTTCTGCACAGATTATTTGACTTATATATTAGTTGAATCATTATACATATAAAATATATTTTACCTAAAATTACCCAATGGATGACTATCCTTAATATTCATATTTCATAGATTAATATTTTAATATAATCTGTCTAGGCAGTTCCTATTTATAAAGAAGCAGCATTCTAGGTTCATTTATTAAACTTTTAAATTGTAACTGGTAAGTAAACTTGTGCTTTATTTTCTCACAGAATCAATGCTTTAAGTAATGGTTAAAATGCCAAGCTAGTCCACAAAGCCTTTTTAATTTATCTTGTACCAGACACCACTAATAAGAAATAGATGGTGATGGAAGGAGAACTGACTCTGGGTGGTGAACACACAGTATGATATATAGATGATGTATTACAGAATTGTACACTTGAAACCTATGTAACTTGACTAACCACTGTCACCCAATACACTTTAATTAAAAAAAAAACAAAGGTGAACAATACTGTTATTTTACTAAAAATTTAACACAGAAAAATAAATAAAAATATGCTGTCCCTGGAGAAAAAGCAACTTTAATTAGAGGTAACACATGGGTAGATTCTGACAAAGAATATTTATATAGCCCAAGAAAAGCCACAGCCAATGGCCTGGGTAAGTCACGTGAGTATGTAAAGGAGCTGGGAGTAAAATAGTAAAGCATGTTGGGGACTCTGGCAGCCTGCAGACCGCACACTTGCCTAACAGCTCTACGGTTTCAGAAAATAGTGATTATAAACTGTGAGAGCCTAACCAAATACATATCCATACTTAAAAACAATTTTGAGGTGGATAACATAGTCCTTTGCTTTAATGTCATTTCAAAACTCAGAGGTGGCCTTTCTCTGGAGACAGAATGATGGTCAGCACTGTCACTAGCGCTATGAGCCCCTCATTCAACAAATGCTCATTGAAGATCTACCATGAGCCAGGCACCATGCTAGAAAAATAGAGCAGAGTGCCAGTGGGGGGTAGGCTTTAGGAAGCGCCCTTCCTGATGGGGGAGGCAGACAACAGATTGCTGATTCTTCTGATACAGTGTGATCTATGCTAGGCTTGTGTGTGCAGAGGAAGACTGGTCAGGGAGGGTGTGCATCATTTTAGGGTCCAGTGTTATGAGATGAGGAACATTTCCTTGTGGTGACTAGTGGGTGAGATTCAGAAGGAGAAGCAAAGAGAAAGCAAGAAGGGAAGAGGTAGAGGAATAGGAGAGGTAGGAAGGGAAATTAGGTCAGAGAGTGCCCAGCCCAGAATCTCAGCAGAGATGGTTTCATTATTATTCCAGTGGGTAGGTGGAAAGCGAAGAGGCTCCGTGTGCTTCGCTGTGTATTCATATTCACACAGACCTTTGTAAGCGGGACATCTGTAACTCGGAGGGCTGTATGTTTCTGATACCAGTGCTGCCCACAATTTATTTGTTTTCTTATAAAAAGGGGGTTAACGTCCCTCTATTGCAAGTGATTACAATTCAGACAGGTGATAAATGGAGCTTTGCGGGAGCGGCGTCACACACACACCCTCTTTCCCTGCCCCTGACTTTGGTTGAGAGGGAGAGACAAGACCTGAGTACCCCATCCCTAAGCATGTGTGTCTTTTCCATTCCCCAGGCAAAACACACAGAATTTCTCTCTCCATTCAAGTGACAAGGGACTATACATGTGACCTCTAGCTGATATCCAGAAGGTCACCTTGAAATGCCCATCCAACCTTTCAGAGCCTCAATGAGGTAACAAATTACCTTGTGCTTACAATGCTCTTGAGAATCAACCCCCCTCCCGTTCCTGCACGCAGTCTTCTAGTGACACTAAATCCATCACCTACAGTACTATTACTTTA